GGCCCGCCGCCGCCGCCGCCGTCGTTGAGTCCGGTGGCGGCGGTAGCAGAGGCGGCGGAGGCGGCGGCGGCAGCGAAGAGGAGGAGGAGGACGAGGAGGCGGAGATCGAGGCGAGGCGCGAGCGGCTGCTGGCGATGCGGCGGCGGCGGGCGGCGGAGGAGGCGGAGGCTGCCGCCGCCGAGGACGACGACGACGACGACGACGATGACGAGGCAGGCGGCGGCGGCGGCGGCGGCGGCGGCGGCGGCGGCGGGGGAGAGGAGGAGAGCAGCGAGTACGAGACAGAGGACGAGTCGGAGGAGGAGGGTGCCCCGCGCGTGCTGATGAAGCCCGTCTTCATCGGCGCCGGAATGCGCGACACCATCGCCGAGCGCGACGCGAGGAGCGCCGGGGGGATGGGGGGGGGGGGGGCAAGAGCTGCTGCAGAGGGAGGGCGAGGCTTATCTCTGTGCCGCCCCGCCCGCAGGATCCCCGAGGAGGAGGAGGCGAAGGCGAAGCGCGAGGCGCGCGTCGCCGAGCGGGCCGACGAGTCCCGCCAGCTGCTGGTGCAGATCGTCCAGCAGGAGGAGGCGGGGCCGAGTCAGCCAGTCGACAAGTCAGAGGTGTGAGCAGCGTCTCTTCACACCCACGGCGATGAATAGGCGGGGCCGAGTCAGCCAGTCGACAAGTCAGAGTTTGAGGCGCCGCCAGACGACGACGACGAGGCGGATGAGCTTGAGCAGTTCCAGCGGTGGAAGGTGCGAGATGTGAATGAGATGTGAATGAATGAATGAGTGGAGAACTAATTAAGTTCGAGCGGTGGAAGGTGCGAGATGTGAATGAGCGGTTGATGAATGAGATGTGAATGAGCGATGAATGAAAGGCGAGTGACTAACCGATGATGTTCGGGCGATGGTAGGTGCGAAAGCTGCGGCCCGTGAAGCGCGAGCGGGAGGAGGCGCGCAAGGAGGAGGCGGACAAGGCGGAGATCGAGCGGCGGCGCAAGCTGACTGACACGGAGAGAGCGGCGGAGGACGAGGAGTTCAACCAGGGCCGTGCGGGGCACGGGCAGGAGAAGGAGCAGTGGAAGTTCCTGCAGCGGTACTACCACAAGGGCGCCTACTTCCAGGACGAGGACGAGACGGGCAATGCAAAGATGGGGCCAGTCATGTCGCAAGACTTTGGCGCGGCGACCGGGCGCGACGCTGTCGGAGACAAGGCGGCGATGCCGGCGCCGATGCAGGTCAAGAACTTCGGCCACCGAGGCGCCGTCAAGTGGACGCACCTCTCCGCCGAGGCTGTGAACAGCGTCTCTTCACACCTCTGGCTGTGACTAGGCGCCGTCAAGTGGACGCACCTCTCCGCCGAGGACACCTCCTCAAAGGCGCGAGAGCGAGCCGCCGAGAGCGAGACGCGAGAGCGAGCGAGCGGGCTCCTCCCCCCCCTCCCCCCCTCTCCACCCCCGCCCCCCCCCCTCCTCTCGCCCACAAAGCGCTCCCTCGGCCCAGGACGCCCTCTGGGCGGCCGACCGCGGCCTCGCCGGCAAGTACAAGCAGCGGATGGCCGGCGTCAAGGCGTCGAACGACTTCGAGCGCCCGGCAAAGCGGAAGAAGCCCGCAGGGCTCTGAGACGGCTGTCGGTGGGCGCCTTGGGTCTTGCTGGGCCCAGGTTGGGCCTCTCGCTCCCTGAGGCCCCACGTCGGTCGCTCGCTGTGTCAATAGTGTTGTACCGACAAGCTTGCATAGACTTCCGTCAGCAGACAGTCGAGGGAGGGCGGCGCCCGTGGTTGTAGCGTCCTGCGCGCCACAAAAGGCAACAACAAAAAACTAAGGCTCAAACTCTAGGATCCCGAACAAAGAACCTATAACGTATAAGAAGAGGCGACGTAGATCTAAATGCCGTGGGGCTCCTGTCGTTAGACGTGGAGACGCGAGGGTCGCCCCCCCTTGCCCCACCACCTCGTGTGTGTGGAGAAGTCTACCTTACCTTACCTTACCTTACCTTACCTTTAGGAGGATCCCCGAGGGCGATAGAGCCGAATCCAGCTGATTGTGTGTGAGGCATGGCCTATCTCGCCCACCTCCGCTCGGCCGCCGCAGCACTCCAGGCGTCGTCGCCGTCCTCCATCGATGAGGATGATCTGCGTGCCGCGATCACTCTGCACGAGCAAATCGGCGCACGCCTCCAGAGCATCACACTCACCACTTCTCCCGCCACCGCCGCCGCCTCTCCTGCTCAGCCCGTCTGCTTCGAGCTCGCCGATCTGCCGCCGGAGATGATCGTGCGCATCGCCGTCTTGTTGCCAACCGTGAAGGACGTGGCACACCTTGCCTGCTCGTGCCGCCTGTTCTACGGCCCGCCGCATTCCTCACCGCCTCGCACGGTTTTCGAGGAGGCCATGCGTGAGCGGACGAGCGTGCGTGGAGGCACAGTGCCACTGCCGACGGGCTATCTGCCCCACATCATCGAACGGGGACTGCGCGCAGGCGAGTCGATGGCGCAGGCGCTCTGCTGGGGCGAACGGCGCGACCTGTTTCAGCGCCAGCGCCAGATTGTGGCGGGAGGCACTCGCAGCAGTGCATTCATCGATGCGGAAGGGAGGCTGCTCACGTGCGGCGATCAGACGCCACCAACCCAACACGCAGAGCAGCATTTCAGGGGAGCTATGCTGGGCCATGGGGCTCAGGCCATCGTGGTGCCAGTGCCGACAGTGGTGCCAGGGCTCGCTGCTACGACTGTGCGCAGCGTCTCGGTGTCGGATACGCACCATCTGGTGCTCGGCGAGGCTGGCGAGGTCTATTCGTTCGGCCTGGGCAGCGGCGGGCCGCTCGGGCATGGCAATCAGGATGATGTTTTCGAGCCGCGGCTTGTCGAGGCGCTGCAAGGGGTTAGGGTGGTTGCAGTTGCTGCGGGAGGCGAAGCTTACCGGGGCGCCCGCAGCCTAATGCTGAGTGACACGGGAGATGTCTACTCGTGCGGCAGCGGTTGGGAGCATGTTCTGGTGCCTCCGGGCGGCAGACTCGTGAGCAGACTTGTGGCTTTCACAGACGAGGACACTCCCCCGGAATGGGATCGTGCGCGCGGGACTCCGCGAGTCATCCCCGCACTGCAAGGCGTGAAGGCGATTGCGGTGTCGGCGGGAGCAGAGCACAGCCTAGTGCTGAGCGAGGCGGGGGAGGTGTACTCGTGGGGCAGCAGCTCGGAGGGCAAGCTTGGGCATGGCGATTGCGAGTACAATGACGCGACACGGTGCTGCCACGCTCCGCGCGTGATCCGAGCTTTGCAAGGCGTGAGGGTGGTCGCCGTGTCGGCGGGCCAAAACCACTCCCTAGTGCTCAGTGAGGCGGGAGAGGTGCTCTCCTTCGGCTGTGGCGGGAGTGGACGCGGAGAGTTCTACGGCATGCTCGGGCACGGCGAGGACGAGCACGACCATTTCACGCCGCGGCTCATCGAGGCGCTTCGAGGAGTGAGGATAGTTGCGGTGTCTGCGGGAGGCACTCACAGCCTCTGCCTGAGTGAGGCGGGAACGGTCTACTCGTTTGGCTCGGGCTACGACGGCCAGCTTGGGCATGGCGATTGCCACAGCCAGCTTACGCCGCGAGTCATAGAGGGGCTCCAAGGGGTGGTGAGGGTGGTGGGGATAGCCGCAGGTCAAGGTGACTATGCGGAGACCAGCTTTGCCGTGAGTGAGGAGGGCGATGTGTATGGTTGGGGTGAGTGGAAGGGTGGCGAGAGCCGGCCGTGTCTTGTGCCTGGTGGCGAGGAGAGCCGGCAGATGCAATCCGGGCCATACCCCACGGCGTGCTTGATGGTCCCGCTGCAGTATCCGAATTTGCGACTGTCCACAGCGTGAGTTCTTCTCAGGTCGTGTAGAATTTCCTTTGGTTGCATTCTTGCTTGACTCCTGAGCTGTAAAACAGACGCTTGCAATCCGGCTAGGGTGGGCGTGCTTGTTTAGAGCCCGCGGCGCAAATTCTGAAATTGGAATAGTCGGGGGAGGGCTCCCAGCACCCAGGGCTTCGAGGTTTTTCCTCTGGGGGGAGGCGAGGGCCGTATGGGGGTACCCATGCGGGGGGGAGATGGCGTCCCCCAGCCCGCCGCAGGCGCCGATTTTTTTGGCATTTTTTTCTTTTTTCGCGCGATTTTTTACTGTTTCATGGGAATTCGGCGCGCCTTGCGATACTGTGAGGTGGGTAAAAAAGTGCGCGGTTTGTAACTTTGTTTCTTCTGCTTGTGCCCGGCGCGGTTCTCCTTTAGCCTTTGTTCATGGCACATGGCTTGCGCCGAAAAAGAGCGAGTATAAATGTGGCGGTCAAAGAGGAAAAAGCTGAGATATGCCATTCATTCGTTTTTTTTACGCAATATACATAAGGTAAGGTAAGGTAAATTTCTCCACACACACAAAGAGTGGTGGGGCAAGGGGCGGGGGGGCGCGGACCCTCGCATCTACAACATATGTCGGTGTGTATCTCATTATCCTGGGGACAATGCGACAAACCCAAACGTACTGGCGCAACATCGCGCACCGAATCTCATGCAATCGCGTTGTCTCGCAGACGGACATGCCCTGGACGAACAATAATTAGTCGACACTAGACCACCCAAAGGCGAGGGTGGGAGAAGGCCGCCGCGCCAGCGCATCTCGCCGGCGCGACCTCAGCAGCAGACGGGAGAGAGAGAGGGGGGGAGAGGGGTGCCTGTGGAGCGGGCGCACTTAAGCGCCGCGCCATGTGGCGGAAACAAAGGGACTCGGTCGGGAGTGTCCTCTTGTCAAGCGGCCCACGCGTCGCAGCTGTCGGCGAGCGCCTCAACGTGCGAGCGGAACGCCGGCCACTCCGCAAGGGCGAGCCCGGCTCTCGTCTCGAGGATGGCGCCGCTTGCATCCAGGACAAGGAAGGTTGGCACCGCGGTGATCTCGTGGTACTGGAACGCCTCGGCCGTCGCCTTGCTGCTTTCGAGCGAGAAGAACCGGACGTCGCGCCGCGCAGCCGCGAGCCGTCGCGTGCGAGGCAGCAGAGCCCTGCACGCGGCGCACTGCTTGCTGCCAAAGAGGACAACGGAGATACCGCCCTCACAGGCCGAGGCAGTCACCGCGGCGCGCAGCTCTGCTGGCGATGGGATCTGCTGGACCTGCATCGCGAGGAGCGACGAGCGGAGCGGCGGCCGCAGTGGCGGCGGCGTGTTGAAGGCGGCAGAGCCGCCGAGGAGCAGTAATAGCGTCATGGTTGGCGTGCCCCAGTTGCGAAGGCCTGCCACGGCTGGACGAGTGGCCGACGGCATGCAAGTCGCCGCTTGAGTGGGAAATCGCTTTTGGACGAATCCAGACGTGACACAGAAAAGAATTTTAACTTTAAGAACGCGCACCCCCGGGGCTAGGGCTCTCTTGCCCGCAACCCGACACCGATCATCCGGCCCGCTGGGTGCGCTTCTCAGCTCCTCGGCACTAAACCTCGCTAAATCTGGATGTAAAGTCGCAGTGAACTCGCGCTAAATTTGCGCTACGCAGTGCTGAACACCACCCGCTCAAGTCGAGTACATGTGATCGACTTTGTGGCCTTCCACGGAGAGAGATTCCGAGCGACGGATGGTAGCGCTGTGTTCGCAGTGTCGAGTAGCACGGGCATTCCAGTGGGTGGGCAAGGGGCTTCAGTGCAGCTGCTCGGTGGGCCTGGCTGGTGCACGTGGGTTGCTGGTGTGGACAGCAGCTTTGGCCGCCTCAACACCGGGCAGTTACTAGCGCAGAGCCGCTCGTCGGTGCTGAGGCTGGCCACCGTGGTCACCCCGGGTTGGTCTGGAGTGATGGATGAGCTCATCAACCGCTTTCAGCAACGGCATCAGATCCGCGTCGAAACGTTCTCCTCGTTTGACGTCTACGAGCAGATGGAACGAGGCGATGCCGACATGGTCATCAGCCATTACAAAAAGGACGACGGTCGCACATCGACCCGTCGCTTCGTGATGACTGGGCTCGGCCATTGGCCAAAGATGGTGATGAGCAACACTGCAGTCATCATCGGACCGAGCCACGACCCTGCCGGGATCAGAGGGGAAAGAGACGCAGCACGGGCGATTGCAAAGATCGCCGCTGCCGGCGAGCACTTGAACTTTGCCCGAGTGCCAGAGAATGAGTTCACCTTTGAGCTTCTGTGGCGCGCCGCGGGTGGCGACAGCATCGGCAGGGATTGGATTACCGCTGTCGATACACCGAACGATGCGGGCGACGGGAGCAAGGTCATGGACGCATACAACCAAGGTCACTACCACGTTTGGGGTCTCATTCCGTTTCTCAGATGGAAGGAGCGCAACAGTGAGATTGGGATGGAAGCCATGGTGTGGGACGACCAGCTCTTTCATCACGTGATGTGCTCGGTGGTCGTGCGGCAGGAGGCGTTTCCGATGGCAAATGTACCGGCGGCGTTGCTGTTCGAGCAGCACCTCCTATCCGCAGAGTCGCAGGCCTATATCCACAGCTTTCGGGACCACGGGCACGACGGACAGCTCTGGTTCCCACGAGCGGTGGACAATATCGGACATCCGCTGTCTCCTCCGTACCCGGGCGAGGATCCAGATGGAGCGAACTTTACGTCGACTCGCTCGTGCTCACCGGATGCCGCTGCGGCAGGGGCAGCTGCAGTCGCTGTGGGGGACGATGCTGCCCCGACTCGCCCCACGGCCATGCCACACGTCCCTCTGCCATTACTTCGTAGCGTGACCTCGCTTCCGGGGAGAGGCATGGACGTGACGCTGAGTGTCGATGCAGCGCGCTTCGCCGGGTCGCCTCTTCACATGACGACGCGCTGCTACAATGGCTCCTTTCCCGGGCCGGTGCTGCGTGTGCGGCGAGGCGATCACGTTCAGATCCATCTCGTGAACAACCTACTGGCTAGCGGTGGCCACGGTGATGACCTGAACAGGACGAACCTGCACTTGCATGGCATGCACGTACCAGCCACTCCTTACGAGCAAGCATCCAACTCATGTGGAGACAACGTCCGCTGTATCGTCGAGCCTCAGCACACGATTACGTACCGGCACAGGGTAGATGACGACCACCCGTCGGGTACCTTCTGGTATCACCCACACCCGCACGGCACCTCAGCGCTGCAGGTCGGTGGGCTCATGGCCGGGATGTTGATTGTTGAGGACGAGCCCGAGGAGACGCCGCTGGCGGCGATGGTGGAGGTGCTCCTAGTTTTGCAGATGCAGCATTGGCACTCGCTCGGTGTCGCAACGCACGACACAATCCACGCGCAGCTGCACGATGCTCTCGACATGGACGTCAGCGGCGGCCCCCCAGCGAATTACATCCTCGCCAACGGGCAGTTCAAGCCGAGCGTCTCTCTCTTGGCCAACCAGTACACCCGGTTTCGCGTGCTCAATGCTAACGCAGTGGCGACGTTTGAGCTCGAACTCACACGTGGCAGTCACTGCAGCATGGACGTGCTGGCTATGGATGGAGTCTACCTCGCACGGCCAGCGCGCGTCACCCACGCCCTGGTTCTCGTCCCGGGAGGTCGGGTCGATCTGGCGCTCCGCTGTCGTCGCGCTGGCAGATACGTACTCAGGTCCGAGACGGACCCTGCGAGGGACGTTGCGATGGGTCGACACGCAAGAATCTCCCAGGACATCTTGATCCTGGCCGTCACAGAGCCTCAGGCTGGAGCGGCAGAGCTGCCGCTGCCGAGCTCTCTACCTCTTCGGCCTGTACACATGCAGGAGGATCTACGGCTTGGCACACCCGACGAGACATCCACCATCACTCTCGGCGATGGGCCCAACAGCGACGCGTATCAGATAACGATCAACGGGCATGTCTACAATGATTCCTCTCCAGGCAACACGCAAGAGATTCGGTTGGGCGCTCTGCAAGAGTGGCGCATCCGCGTGGGTGGCGCGAGCATGCATCCGTTCCACGCTCATCGGATCCACTTCCTTGTCGTCTCGGTGGATGGGCCGGCGGAGTATGGGGCTTTGGTTGGCGTCGGTCAGTGGCGCGACACCATTCCGATCCCCGCCACGAATAGTGGGGCCGTGATTGTGACGGTTCGCTTCCGGGCACAGCGTCACTGTGGTGATCTGCCGTTTCACTGTCACATCTTGCACCACAGCGACCTGGGGATGGCGGCCCGGCTGGCGGTCGTCGGGACGGCGGCGTCGAAATGCCTGCAGCCAGCAGTGGACACCGCAGCATCCCAATACTGTGGACGCGGCACTCATTGGTGCGCCGAGGCACAGCGTTGCATTGCGGACTTGCTGACAGATCACGTGCTGTCGCGAGCGGTTTCGGTGCTGCTGCTGCTCGTGACGTTGGTGTGTCTGGCTGTGCTGGGGGGGACACGGGCGCGGACGAGGAGGAGGCTGTGGTGGACAAAGCCGATCCAGGAGGGGGCGCAGAGCTTGGGTGCTACTGAGCTAGCCACTGAGCCAGTGCGGCATCTATTGGATGCCTAGGGAGCTGTTGGGCCGTTGTGTGTGTGTTTGTGTGTGTGTGTGTGTGTGTGTGTGTGTGTGTGTGTGTGTGTGTGTGTGTGTGTGTGTGTGTGTGTGTGTGTGTGTGTGTGTGTGTGTGTGTGTGTGTGTGTGTGTGTGTGTGTGTGTGTGTGTGTGATTTGAACACCAACAAGAAATCGCCGAGGGAAACTTCCAAACTTAGTGCCAAATGACGAGAATCGGGGCGATTTTGCCACAACGGCGATACCCTGACGTTCCTCTACGTCCACGACAGCATCGCCCTCTTCCAGCCCGACACGGAATGGTCACGCCAGACGGTACCAGGGGCAATGTAGCCAATGGGCGGGTTGTGGTGCGGCTTGAGCCACCGGATTCCTTCGACCCGACCCGTTCCAAGGTCTGCAGCTATGGCGGCACGAACGCAGCCCTCCTCGCGGCATATCCTGGCCCCTCGAGTTTATCGAGCTCTCCTCGCGCAAGGACGACTCTTCTGACTCCCACTGCGATCATTTGCCACCCAGTCATGTCGTTGCTCAGGTCCACTCTCTCTTCGAACACTTGTACCTCCACGGCTGATGCTGGCGCTGGGGTCCCCTTCGGGTGCATCGTGACAGCTGACGCCGGGATTACCACTGGGTCCTCCTCGAGATCGTCTTCCCCGGCTTCCTCCCGTTCGGCTCTACGTTCAGCACGTTCAGCGTGGCTCACCCTCCATGCCGTGAACAGGCGCTTTATCCACCCTATATTCTTCTCTCGTTCCTCTGCCCTTGCCTTGGTCTTGTCGTTGTTTCGCATCCATGTCAGTATGGCGATCGAGGCTGCCTTCCCAACTACCTGTAGTTCTCTCGTCACCTCTCCCGCGAGCTCCCCTCTCTTTCTTTCGGGTATGGAGTCCGTGAGTGCGGGCAGCGTGCAGGCAATCACGGGCGCTATTTTGTCGTACTCCTCTTCGGCGAGCGCTCCAAATCTAGACCCTTTCGCCTTTAAGGAGGCTGCTCTCGCTCGTCTCAGGAATGTGGCGGTGTCTTTTGAGTCCGGCGCCTCCCGTTCAACTCTTGCTGTCGCCCTCGCTGTGTGTTTGTCGAGCTTCCGCAAGAAGTAACGCGCCTCTTCCTTATTTCCAGCGCAGTTGCCGCTCAGTATGTGCGCCAACGACGCCTGTGGTGGCTCACTGTCTTCTCGTGTCCATCCAGGCTCGAACAGAATTTTAAGAATTCAGTGCCGTCCGTGCACGGGGAGAGGAAGAAACCCAATTCTGTGTGTGGTGGCGGCGTGCCGTCCTCCCAATAGGAAGAAACCCACTTTGGACTTCCTCGCTCGTGCTCGTGTGCCTACTGCCTTTTCTATTCTGCTGGACTTTGCATATTGCAACCATGTACGATTTGTTTTATGGATTATGCTCTCGCGATCGACGAGCTCACACAACAACATGTGTTGTTTTCGCACTCTCACGATAGAGTGTCGAGGTAGACTTTTACAACACGAGAGGGGCGGGCACAGCCTAGCGGGCTGGGCGAGTGTAGCCGCGCCTCAGTGAGAGGTGCAACCCGTCGGACTGGGGGGGGGGGGGGGCATCGGAGAGGCGGGCTATAGCAACGCAACGCCGGACCGGCTGCGCGCCATCGCCATCGGCACCACCGACTCCCACACGTTCGTCGCCGGGTCGTACCTCTCCACCGAGCTGAGCGAGTAGGAGTCACTGTCCTCACCGCCAACAGCGTACAGGTTGCCGTCGAGCACTGCCACAGCGTGAGTATCCCGCCCCTCCGCCATCGGCGCCACCTCCTCCCACGCATTCACCGCAGGGTCGTACCGCTCGACCGAGCTGAGGGTTTGGTGGCCGTTGTACCCGCCCACAGCGTACAGCTTGTCGTCGAGACCCGCCACGCCGACCAAATTCCGCCCCTCCGCCATCGGCGCCACCGTCTCCCACGCATCCGCGGCCGGGTCGTACCGCTCGACCGAGCTGAGGTCGGCGTCGCCGTTGCTGGTCCCGCCCACAGCATACAGCTTGCCATCGAGCACCGCCGCGGCGTGACCGACCCGAGCCGTTGCCATCGGCGCCACCGCCTCCCACGCATCCACCGCCGGATCGTACCGCTCCACCGAGCTGAGGTAGCCGTTGTTGTACCCGCCCACAGCGTACAGCTTGCCGTCGAGCACAGCCACAGCGTGAGTAGCCCGCCCCTCCGCCATCGGCGCCACCGTCTCCCACGCATCCGCCGCCGGGTCGTACCTCTCCACCGAGCTGAGGTCGTCGTCGTCGTCGTCGTTGTTGTACCCGCCCACGGCATACAGCTTACCGTCGAGCACCGCCGCGCCAAAATTGCTCCGTAACGTTGCCATCGGCGCCACCGCCGCCTCCTCCTCCCACTCATTCGTAGAGGGGTCGTACCGCTCCATCGAGGTGAGGAACTCGCCGCCGCTGCGGCCGCCGACCACGAGCAGGCGCGGCCGCTCGCGCTTCACCAGCGTCTCCTTCCAGCCGCGGCGCCACGCGCGGCACGTCCCCTTGACGGCGTGCGCCTTGGTCGGCAGCTGGGCGAGGATGTGCGGGGCGAGGTCCGGCGAGAGGAGAACCTCGGAGAGCACCCACTCGGGCTGCTCCACGAGCCGTGCGGCGTGCTCCTCCGCCACGCGCAGCGCAATGTCGCTCAGGAGGGGCGCCAGCTCGTCGATGAAGGCGACGAGCTGCTCTGGCGAGAGGCTTGCGCTTGCGAGGCGCGCGCTGAGCCGGTGCGCTGCGGCCATCGAAAAAAACGGCCAAAAAAAGACACATCGTGCCAGCCGAAATTTCAACTGTGGGCGTTGCATGCGCCATGACTCGCGCCAGCGCGTGCGGGAGCTCCTGGCTGAGCGTTGAGTCCAGGCGAGTTGCGCTGGCCACTATCGCTACGCCGAGCCGAGCTGACGCGCCGAGGCGCCGGCCAGTCGCAGCCGTGAGGCATACCACAGCAGCAGAGGCACCTGCCACCCATTGGGCGGGCAGGCAGAAGGCCAGGGCAGCACTGGCAAATGCAACGCGCCTCATGTCGGAGAGCGACCGTGCCTCGTTCGCCGCTTATGATGTAGAGTTTGTTGTAGAGATTTCACGTTGTAGAGCGCCTCTACATCGCTCTACAACGCACCCGCCTCGTCCCGCGGCGGATGTAGAGCTCTACAGCTCTACAGCGCTCTACAGCGCTCTCCAGCGCTCTACATCTCTACAGCTCTACAGCGCTCTACACTCTACATCCTCTACACCCTCTTTCAGCGTCTTCTGCCCTGCGTCGTCTGGCGACGGGTCCTCCATAGTCGGTCGAGGTCGCAGTCCCGCTGCAGTATTCGAATTTGCGACTGTCCACAACAGCGTGAGTTCTTCTCCAGGTCTAGAATTTCCTTTGGTTTTGCATTCTTGCTTGACTCCTGAGCTGTAAAACAGACGCTTGCAATCCGGCTAGGGTGGGCGTGCTTGTACCCAGTCTCTCCGTTCTCCGATTCTCCTCCTTGCCTCTCGCGCCTCTTTTGCGGCCTCATGCCTAGCCGCCTTCCACGCTCTGCATCCCCAGAACGCACTTCTCGCGGACGGGAATTCTTTTTCTGCCTTTTGTGGTGCTAGTTCGCGGCTTCGAATTCTTTTTCTGGCGCAAGGCGCCGGCCGCGAAGGCAGCGAGCCCCGATCCATGTGCGCCTCGACGACAAAAGAAGCCGGCTCGACGTGGCGCAAGGTCGGCTCTGTCACCGTGCCTGGGGCCGACCTGCACAGCTACGTCTCCTCGGCGACCGGGCTGCGCGCGCTGCTCGCAAAGACGGACGAGCCGCTCTGCTCCATGCACATGGCCATCGCGACTGAGGCGGACACAAACGAGTGGTCGCACAAGGACGACGGCCTGCCGCACGTGCTCGAGCACGAGACCTTCCTCGGCTCCGAGCAGTACCCGTTCAAGGGCCTTTTAGACAAGCTCGCCAACCGCTCGCTCGCCGACGGAACCAACGCGTGGACGGCGACGGACCACACGTGCTACACGCTGACGACGGCCGGGCACCGCGGGCTCCTCAACATGCTCCCGATCTACGCCGACCACGTCTTTTATCCGACGCTGACGCAGGCGGGCTTCACGACGGAGATCCACCACGTCACCGCCGAGGGCGAGGACAAGGGCGTGGTCTACTGCGAGATGCAGGGGCGCGAGAACGACTCCTCGAGCCTGATCGACCGCGCGGTGATGGACCTGCTCTACCCGACGGGAGGGTACTCGGCGGAGACGGGAGGCAAGATGGCGAATATCCGCCGGCTGACCAACGAGCAGGTGGCTCGCTACCACGCCGAGAATTACCGGCCAGACAACACGCTGCTGGTCGTGTCTGGCCTGGTGGAGGAGGCGGACTTCCTCTCCGCGCTGTCTGCGCTGGAGCAGAGAGTGGTCAGCAAGCAGGCGCAGGCAGCAGTGGGCGTGGCGCCGCCCCGCCGGCCATGGTCCAGCCCGGTCTGCTCGATGGCGGCCTTGGGCGTCGATGGGATTGTGGTTTGCTCGGCGCCGCCATCTTCGACGGAGCTGGAGGTCAAGGGGGCGGCGCGAACCATCTCCTTCCCGACGGAAGACGAGTCTGTGGGGACCGTGTCCATGGCGTGGCGCGGCCCCGCGTACAGCGACGCGGCGACGTGGCAGAAGCTGGCCTTGCTGCACAACTACCTCACCGACTCGGCGGCCAGCCCGCTCGCCAAGGCCTTCGTGGAGTGCGCCTCGCCGCTGTGCGGCGACGTGAGCGCCACGCACGAGGTGTTTGTGGAGGGGTACCACCAGCTCTGGTTCGAAGACGCTGAGGTGGAGACCATCGACCAGATCGCTCCCTCGCTCTTCCGGCACCTCGTCGCCGCCAGAGACGACTTCTCGATGGAGCGGATGGGGCTGTGCATTCGGCGCATGCGGCGCACGCACCTCTCGTCTGTCGAGAGGCACCCCACCGACACGCTAATCGACGGGCTGACGCGGCACTTCCTGTACTACCCGACGGAGGACGACCAAGCGGCAGGCGGCCTCGCCGAGTGCTGCGACCCGCTAGCGCAGCTCCCCTCTCTCGAGGCGATGAGCCGCGCCGACTGGCAGGCCCTCCTCAGCCTCTGGTACCTCGACCGCCCCTGTGCGGCCGTGGTGGGGCGGCCGTCGGCCGCCCTCGTCAAGGAGATCGCCGAGAGCGAGGCGGCGCGCGTGCAGAAGCAGAGGGAGTCGCTCGGCTCGGCCAGGCTCGAGGAGCTCGGCGCCGCTCTCGACGCCGCAGTCGCCGCCAATGGAAAGGAGATCCCGACCGAGCTGCTGACGCGCGTGTCCATCCCAAGCAAGAGCGACGTCCGCTCCATCCCGATCGTCTCTGTGCGCGGCGGAGGAGAGACGCCGTTTGCAGTCGTGCCAGGGTCCGGCGAGGGCATGGACGCCAGCCTCACGGCGAAGCTGCTCTCGCGGCTTCCGGCGCCGGCGAGCGGCGCTCCGCTGCCGTACTGGCTGCAGGCGACGCTGGTCGACTCGCCCTTTCTCAGCGTCAAGGTTGCCCTCGACACAAGCGACGTGCCCGCGAGCTTGCGGCCGTACCTCCCGCTGCTGCTCGAGCTCTGGTTCAAGGCGCCAGCAAGGCTCGAGGACGGCTCACGGCTCAGCAAGGACGCCTTTGTCGCGGCCCTGGAAGACGACACCGTCTCCTACTCCGCCAGCTTCGGCGTCGGCGGCAAGGTGCCTCAGCTGATCTCCGCCTCGATCAAGCTCGAGCTCGACTCGGGCGCCGCCGACGCCACCCTCTCCAAGGGCCTAAGCTGGATGCGGCGCGCCATGTACCTGACCCGCTACACCACGTCCAACGTCAAGATGACCGCGAAGCGGCTGCTGAGCGGCATTCCGGGCACGTACCGCGACGGCGACGAGATGAAGTCGCACGTGTACGCATGCCTCGCGCTCGACCGCGGCCGCTCCAACGGTGCCGCCGCCTCTCCAATGGTGCAGCAGCCCTTCCTGCAGACCCTCCTCGCGAGGCTGGCGACACCAGACGGGTCGCGCCACGTGCTCGAGATCACAGCCTCCTGAGACGAATGATTGATTAACTTGCCATGACTAATCAGGTCGCGCCACGTGCTCGAGATGCTGCACTCGCTGCGCGCGCACCTCGTCGCGCCGACGCGGATGCAATTCCTTTTGGCTGGCCGGCTGACGGAGCTGTCGCAGCCGTACGAGGCCGTCGTCGGCGCGGTGACGCCGCCGGAGGCGCTGCCGGAGGCCGAGGAGGAGGAGGAGGAGGAGGAGGAGGAGGGGGAGGAGGAGGGCGAAGGCGAGGGGGAGGGGGAGGAGGAGGAGGAGGAGGGCGAGGGCGGCGAGGGCAGCGAGGGCGGCGAGGGCGGCGAGGGCGGCGAGGGCGGCGAGGGCGG